AAGCAGTTGGTGTTTGCTCACCAGCCTCAGCTCAGCACTCCGCTGGTCAGAGCAACCATAAAACTGCGCCCATGGGAAGATTTCCCCACTGCCCATCTCCCAGAGGTACCCAGATCCAAAGCACCTGTCAGAACAGTCACTTCCATAGAGGTAACAGTGACAAGAAGACAATGATAAAACACTGAGCTGAGCAGCAAAGAAATACCAGGCTGAGCGAGGAGGAGGAAAATCATGAAGGAGAGCAACCTCTAAGCTAGAGCTGAGCAGAACACAAGGCAGGTTTGCCAGATGGGGAAATCACCAGTGTGTGCATCTCCCTGCAGGTGACCCATCAGCCAGGTTATCTCCAGCTGAGCTCAGAGATGTTCAGTGCCCCACTGAGCACACAGACCATGTTTTTCACATGGAAATGCTGCACTGAAGTTCTTGGCTTTGCCCCCAGCACTTGATGCTTCTCATAAGGAAGCTGTTGCTTTGATTACCAATGTCACCTTAATTTCTCTTTTCCACACAAACTTCTCTCACTTCAGGACATTTCAAGATTGCCTTCAATAAATACGAATGCAAATTTGTTCATTTAGGTGTTTGTCATCCACTATTACCACTGCCATGGAAGCCACAGACACTCATCTACAAACTTCTCCTCAGAGATTTTTCACTGAGGATAAATCCTTGATCTTCCAGTATACATTTTGCCTTTTATACAACAAATACAGGACAAAAGAGATACCATTCAAGCTCATTTTGTGCTTGGTGGAAAGGCATCTATACTCTAAGAAGCGAGCAGCTATCAGCCAGCCTCCACAGCCTAGGAGAGGTTTTACACCTCGCTCCCAGTGACCCCAATGGCAGATGCCATAAGGACTCTTTCCACAGTGTGGGACCCCCCCAGCAAGGCGACCCACTCTCCGACCTGAGACCTCCACATCTGGGTCCATACTCTTCTCAAAGACTGCAAATATGGAGAAAGACTTCATCATATACTACAGCAAAATGGAAGGGGAAGCCTCCAGGATGATACCAAAGTTCAGGGTAACACATCTCACATGCACTTACATTAAACAGAATGTTTTAAAAGAAAAACAAATTACTTCTCAACAGGCTGGACATAAGGAAGGGGAACATTCTGCCAGGAAGGCAGAACACCTCTGCACTAAAACCTACAAGCGAAGCCATCACAAGAGAAGCTGCAGCATTAAGATGAGCAGCGTAATAAAATGCGACTTCAGCTTATGACATGTTCAATCGCTATTTGAGTTGATTAAGATACCTTCACTTGAATTTCATACTGTTTTCTATATTACCCTTTTCTTCAGAAATCTATTGAGACAGGCAAACCACACATTTACCAAGGTATTAAGTAAATAGCATTAGATCAACAACACCCAGGATCCCAAAATGCAGGTCATTTCCATGTATATTGATTTTATTTCCATTTGCTGCAATAAAAGTTTTGTCTCCAAGCAAGCAAATAAAGAAAAGCTATTTTATCAAACCGTTTTGGGTTTAGTTCTTGAAACAACGTCGCTCTGCAGTCACTACACAAAGCAAACTTGCCCTAAGTGCTTTCCAAAAGACGTGCCTCTAAGAGCTGAGCAAGCTTCATTATGTACAAAGTAAGGCCTGAGAGGATGCTGCCCAGGGGACAGCAGGAAAGGAGGGAAGCCATAGAAGCAGCAAAGCAGCATCAATGAGGTACTGCTCTTAGTGCTCAGCCACATGCAGAACATCCTCTGAGTTACACCAAAGCTTTGTAGGCACCCTGCAGCGATGCAAAGGCACTTCTCTGCACTCTGGGCTGCCAGCACAGACAGGCATCTCTGCTTTTTCCCAGTACCTGTGCCTTAGGCAGGGATGCCAGGAAGGCTCTGCCCACCACTCCCTCCCAGAAGCTCCAGGATGGAGCGAGCTCACAGTCCTTCCCTTCCCCATGCAGTGCCATCCCCTTTGCAGGCTGTTTCCTCATTAATACACATCCCAAACTCTTATTTGCCCATTAGCACCTACAGTTCAACGGATATCTATTAGTAATTCCAATTGGAATGATCTTGGATGAAAACTATTTAAAAGTGCTCCTTGCGAAAGCATTTGAATTAATTGTTCTCCCTTTGCCAGCAAAATAAAGAACTGCTCCCTTTTCCAATCCATAGTAATCATTTTTGTTTCAGCTACGCTAAGCTAAAATTTAATTGCTATACAGCCTAAGCCAGTCCACAGAATCTACGTTATTCAATATTTCCCAGAAACTCTACATAATTACACCCATCTGTTTTCTTTATCTCAGTTTTATAAACTGATAGCTCACACTTACATCATTATAATACGGACAGCAATCAAAGGAGGTTACGCAGCCGCTGCCTCAGAGCACCATCAGATGGTCTGCTGTTTAATCAACACGAAGATGTGCAGTGAGGCTGCTGGCCAAATCACAGCCCCTCAGCACAGCACAGCTCCCTGATGTGCTCTTGAAGATCCTGCATTACCACCAACAGCTTGAATCCACTCAGAAGTTTCCCTTGCACAGACCAAATGAACACAAGGGAAGGAAAGAAAATTCCGCAGAGGTGCCTGGGGCTGTTTGGTGCTCAGGCACAGCCTCACCTTCCCTTGACCTCCTTGTGGTATGAATAAGATGTTGCCTCAGAAATGGACAAGGGGGAATGGTTTCAATCTGAGACAGGGAAGTTGAGGTTGGATATGAGGAGGAAGTTTTTCATCAGACGGTGGTGAGGCACTGGCACAGGTTGCCCAAGGAGGCTGTGGATGCCCCATCCCTGCAGGCATCCAAGGCCAGGCTGGATGTGGCTCTGGGCAGCCTGGGCTGCTGGTTGGTGACCTGCACACAGCAGGGGGTTGGAGCTGGATGAGCACTGTGCTCCTTTGCAGCCCAGGCCGTTCTGTGGTTCTATGAAATGGCCACAGCTTTGTTGACTTCTGGATCCTCAGTGTTAATACAGTCAGAGAGTGAAGAATATTCTTGATGCAGAATAGCTGAGCTGCTACCATTGGTTCGAACCAAGACATGCTCAGCAATGCTGGTCAGGCTCTGAGGACAGCTGGACACCTGTGCCACAAAAGGATTGAATGGGAATACTTTCTTTCTATTTGATTTGCCATCTGAAAAGCCACACAGACGTGTTCTTTTATGTTATCCATAGGCACATCTCCCAGCACTGCACCAAGATGCGATTCCACTGCTCCCATTTCAACCTCTGTCTCCAAAAACCACTGAAACAGAGAGAAACAGACTTCAAGGCAAAAACACCTAAAAGGTAGATGGGAGATAACATGACACTGCTGTGCTTTGGAATAACCGAGGCCTTGCTGCACACAGAGAGTGCCAGAATCTTTCAGATAGTCTGACTCAGAAGGTCGATCATTTATCTGCCCAAGACAAAAAGGAATCAATTTGTAGATAAACGGCCTGAAACTCAAAACCCCTTCTTTGAAGGAGGCTCCAGAAGCTGAGCACCAAATCTTCGGCTGTTTCAGCACAGCTTCACATCAACCAGCCCTGAGAAACAGGCCTGTGTGCAAAACTTCACGTTTTAATTACCTTCTGCTTCAGCTAACACCATTGCTTAAGAGCAGTGTTGCTGCTCTCACTTCAGTCTTCTCATCAGCCCTGAAACCGAGCAATTCTTGCACCCAGCTCTATGTCAGCATACGCTTCCAGTCTGAGCAGAGGAGCAATGCGTTCCAGCCCCCACACCAGCACAGCCACTGGGCACACCAGTGATGGGATGGAACGGGGGGTGGTTGCCTTTTCTTCCTTAACAACAGTTAGTACTGCTGACAGAGTGCAGCAGAACCTGCCAAGCCCTTCCTCTTCCTCCCAGCAGAAGACATACTAAGAGATTACTGCAGTCTGTTGACTTCACTGAGCCTTAACAGAAACAAGCAGAGTGGGTTAGAAGTCGCTGGAAGATTCAGCATGGGTCACAAAGCAAACATCCAGCAAAACTTCCCATTAACCAAGACGCATTACGTGCAAAGGCCCAGCAGCAAGCAGAGCACACCATGCTGTGCCCCAAGCCATGATTTGCAGCCACTGCCTGGTAATCACATCACAATGAGCAACCTGCTCATTGGGAAGTCAGGGCAGACAAAATCATATACAGGGCCCTTATCTGTATTCTAAGTATCAACAAGTTACCAAAAATAAAGTATTTATTCAGCCAAAAACTGTCCTTCTGTCTCTAAAAGCCACGTTTAGAAAGAAAGCCAATTATAACAACACGAAGCCTAGCTGCGTGTTCATGTTTTGCACAGCACAAAACTTCTACCAGCCCAACACACAGCTATGGATGATACACACTGACCACCAGCACCAGGCATCCTGCTGTCCCCTGTGCTCAGGTGGTGCTGTGGTTGAGCACCATGGGCTGAGCAGCCCCAGGATGGAGCCAAGCACTGAACCCACAGCCCCTCAAGCACTGTTGGCAGCAGACAGGCAGAGTCAGCTGAGGTAAACGTGCTGCCAAGCTCACAACAAGGGAAACGACTGCAGGTTTGGTGCAGAACCTCAGGGTGCTCTTAGACACTTATGTCCTACTGAGAGACATATGAAATGCTAACAGTAACAAGGAAAAGCCTTTATTGAAATAGATTTTGTTGTGTTGGAAATCTGCTGCCCATACATCCATATTCTTAACTGCATTAAGCATTTTGGAAGTTACCAGCCCAGCAACAAACAAGCAGAGCAGCTCAAACAGCTCTTAACCCTCAGTAGCAGTGCTTAATCAGTAGTAAGAAGTCTCAGATTGGGTGATGAGGATGAAGGGCTGTGACCAAGGCTTACCTGCTCCTGCAGGCTGAGCACAGACAAAGCAAACAGCTTCAGCTCCATCTTGTTCAAGACTTCATACAGAATAAAACCTACAGTACTCAGCCAAACACATCCCACTGAACCTCACCATACCAACCCCAATCTGCAAGCCACCTGCCCACGGCCCTCCTTCACCCCTACTCTCCACCCACACCTCCATCTCTCAGCCCACCTGTTTGCAGTGAGGTCTCCTTGCAGCACTGCTCCATCTCTCCATGCTCAGCCTGCTCCAAGGCACTGCAGCTGGGGCAGGTTCTGGGGCCTGAGGAATGCACCAGTTTTACCAGGTCTGGCTTTGTGGTGGGTATGGTAGCTGCAGTGCAAACAAGGAGTATATCAAGGAATTATTGACTTGTTATTAGTTTATAGGCCATAAAAATCATACATCCAAAGTGACAGATTGACAACAATCATTTAATTAAAAAAAAAAAAAAAAGAAAGAAATGTAACTTCAGGACGAGGTGAGTGGCTTTCTGGCTGCCCATGGCACAGCACTGGGCTCTGCATCACCTGCTGGACCCCCAGCCAAAAAGTGGGGAATGCAGCAGCAGCAGAGGTTCTCTGTGAGCTGCAGGAAAAGTCCAGCACAGCTCACAGCCCCAAAGCCATGGGGCATTGGGTGGGGAGGGGGCAGTGAGTGGGGGAGAGGCAGCGTTTTCTGACGTGGACACCAACATCGGAGCGCAGCTCCTCCAGGAAAGATCAGCACAAGGATAAAGGAGGTCTTTGCATTTGTGTAATGTATCTTTATCCATAAAGTCCTCCATTAGTGATACTGTGTCTGTGGCAGGGAATAAAACACCAAATTAAGTTCCAAATAACTGAGTGCAGTCTGCCACTAATCCGCAGCGCCACTTCCACAAAGTGACCCCATGTAACGAATTCTTATTTTAATACAATGAAATTAATCTCCCAATAACATCAGATCACTGCATCGCACGCATCACAGACCCGCCAGGTGCTGTTGTGTCTCTGTTTGCTTCTAATCCATACAGGATGGATTCGTAGGTTGGCTGATTGGTGAACCGGAGGAGGCAAGGATGGAGGAAATTCAATCAGAAAACCTATTTTGTCCCTTTTACAGAAACTTACAAAAAAACTCGCACAGGAACAGAAGATTAACTGAATGGAGGTCCCTTACCTCACGTGTATCCCAGTGACATGAAGGTCTCAGCAGGATCTCAGAGGCTGTCACACACGTATGGCTCTCAAGCTGTGTGCTCTGTCAGCAAATAGATGACAGCACGTAATGAGGGCTCTTTGGGGACAAACGGCGGATTGCAGCCCAACGCTGCTGCAGCCTTTTTTGCAACCAGGGCTGTGCTGTGCTAACCACAGAGTTTTACTTCGTTTCAGACGAAGAAGCTTTGCATGAGCTGTGCTATACAAATTCCCTCCATCACGACCGCTGGCTGTTGGAGCATGTCCAATTATTGCAGTGAGTTCAGCAGTTTCGGAGGTAGTTTAGATATACGTGTGCTGATCCTTTTGCCTTGCTTACTTTACTAAGAGCTGTAGAATCATAGAATCGAGATGGAAGGGCCCACCAGGGGGCACCGAGTCCAGCCCCTGTCCCACACAGCAGCACCCAACCCCGGACCCTATGGCTGAGCACAGCATGGCACAGCACTCACTGAGCTCTGGCAGCTCAGGGCCATGCCCACTGCCCACTCCTAACCCCACAGTCTTGTTCAAGAGCTGGATCTGAAGTTACCTTGGTGTCTCTTTCATCAACTCGGAGATTGGCCAGGGCAGTTTTTAGAGCCTCTGCAGGAGTGTGAGCACTTCCAATGGAGATGGCTGCACTCTGCACTCCTGCACTGAGTGCGGGCGTTGGCACTCACAGCTGCACTGATCCGATTGCACTGCCTGCAATGGTGATGTGACATCACCTCCTTTCTATACCAATTAACCTTTCACAGCAGCTGTTATGGGAAGTGAGCCTGTAACAGAGCTGCATTAACAGTTTCTGCTCTGCTGAGCTTCCAAATCAAACCACAGGCACACGCTTGTGCATGGGCATCTCTTCCATCAGCTTTCTTATTCCTTACTCACAGCTCCATGGGAAAGTGCAAGAAATGGGTGCTGAGCATCAGCTGAGGAAATCCGTGCAACACAAAAAGTGGAAGAAAGCACTAGGTGGAGTGGACAGAGAGTTTTGCTCAGTCTGCTCTTCCACCGGGGCTGCACAAAGCAGAAACACACAGCACAGCACTCAGCAAAGCAGTGAGAGTGGCAGCACCGCTCAGCTCAGACCTTCAGGAACTGCAAAGTGCTTCTCCTGCAGTTTTGGGTGGTTTCCTTACACACTTCATCTTCTTCCTATCAGCCAGCCAAATCTGTATAAGAGATGCTCAGCACAGCCGCTGCCTTTCTCCAGGTGCTGCAGAACTCTGGGGCATATCTCAAACCTGTTCCCTGTAAGACATTTAGCAGAATAATTCCCTTTGTATTGTTTTACTGTTATTTTCATCATTATCATCATCATCATTTCACCATCATTCTCAGGTATGGCTCAAGCCCCGAGGGGAGATGGTTGTTCCTGGGGCAGCCATTCCAGAAAGGCATAAAGCACCAATTTACCTCATGTGCTTTCAAGAAAGGAAGCCAAATAAAACAAGCAGTTAAAGCTGAGAGGATGTCTGCAAAAATGAAGTCTTAAGAATGTAACATTTGCAACTGTTATTGGTGTGTTATTGTCACGACCAAAAAATACTCCTTATACCAATCTCCCAAGACTGTACTTCAGAGGATACCCCACTAACAGCAGTGCTGCCTGCTTTCTGGGCTCTTCTGTATGTTTTCCTTTGCTACCATTCACAAGAAATTATCCTCTGCTTGCTGTAAGCTTTGTTTGCTCCTTCCTGTTGTGTTCATTTACTCCTCTGTTTGGGAGGAGGATGAAGGCCCTTGCTGGGTAGTGAGTGAGAGACTGGTCTGCAGAGGTAGGAGAAGGAAAATAGATGTGAGTGGTTGTAGGGAAAAGCAGAGCAGTCAGCCCTGTGTGCTCTGAGCATTTGATCTGCTGTGCCTGCGTCCCCGTCTGTGCAGCAGGAATGGCAGCCTGGTGGGGTTGTCCCATATCTCCATTAGTTAAGACTGACATGACTTCAGGATCTTTTCATCTCAGATCAGGTTTAATTACTAACCATATAGCAAAAATGAGGAGAAACTTGTCAGATATCAGTAGGACAAGGGACAAAAGGGACTTCCATCCCCAAAACCCCATACCCACACTGGGGTTGATCTGTGTTTCCCAGCCCAGGCACAGCAGGCAGTGACACAGAGCTGCAGCCTCATGGGCAACATGTGCCAGTGCCCGAGTGCCTTAAATATGGCAGAAAACATGTGTTAATAACTTCAGAATCCTCCTTCTCAGGAATGTCAGTCTATCTGAGTTTGCCCTGCCCTGAGTGGATGTGGGCAGCGGCGCAGCGCTTTGCTCTGTGCCATTTGCTTCTACATAATCAAAGGCTTCTCGTGTCTCTTCTTGGAATTCTTGCCTCCAGACTGAGCAACGCCACCACTTCAGTTTTTCCTCATTAGCATGTACCAGCATTTTCTTGGGAGCTGTCTGGAATAATCCTACTCTTCTGCATCGCTGCCCGCGTTATTAAGGAGAGTGTGAACAGGAGAATTATTCTCCGAGCACTGCACAAAGTCCTGCAGGGTTAAGCCTTCCCCAGGGCCAACAGCCCTGTGGGATGCAGAGTAAATACTGGGAGGATTAGGCTCAAAATGTTTCTCAAGTTTGAAAACTAACATTAGTCCAAATCAGTCACCGCCATGCTTGGCTTGGCTCAGTCTCCGGGTTTAAACAAATGCTTTCACATAGGAAATGATTTCTAGGAATTAATTTTTGTCCAAATGTTCACTGCTGATGAGGCAGATGAGTTTAACATCTGAATAAACAGAGTCGGTCCCTCTCGGGTTGTGCTGTTATTGTTGGTGTACCTGAGAGAGGGGAGCTCACGAAGCATTGGGGCTGAATCTGCACAAGGGCTGCGTGCACACTGGGGAGATCCCAGAGCAGGGATGTGTGGATGTGCCTTCACAAAGGCCCTACGTCTGTGACATCTCTACACTTACCGTGTTTCCCTTTGGTTTTTCAAAGACACGAGCATTAAATCCATAACAGCCTCGGGACACACAGTGCTGAACAGTGAGAAAGCAGCAACTGCGCTTGGATGTCAGATCACAGATTAATATGGCTGTGTTCCTTAGCTGGAAATTGCCCTTCTGACAAATCTTCTATGGCCATTTCTCCCTGCTGCGTTGTCTTTCTCTGCAGATATAAGAGTCTCCCCTCATTATTTTTGGAACTCTGATAATATATTGGGCTGGAGAGAGCACGAGGAAGACCTGACTGGAATGAATGCCTGTTCTCCTGGGAGCAGCAGAGAGAAGGCTTTGTCACACAAGATTCTGGAGAATAAAGACAATATTGAATTCTGATCTAATGCATCTTGCTAGAAGGGTGCTCAGTCTATCTCCTCCCATAGAGCCATCCTTAGTTTTCTTTCAAAATTAGTTGTAGAATGCCAAAGAAGTGAACATTTGGCCATCTTCAAAAGTAAATGACGTTAGGATAATCACTGGCACCATGTGTGTATTCACACAATTATTATATTGTGTAGAAAAATGTCTAGCCAGCCAAACTTGTGTAAATCAGAGGAAAAAACCTGAGTGAAGAGGGAAAGGTCACTGCATGGTGGCATGAAGGACTTTGTTCCAGACTGCAGATCCAGCAGGAGGCCCAAGGCACAAAAATTCCATTGATGTCCTTACACGTAAATGGTGGAGGAAACTTCTCTGTTGTTGTAACTACAATATTTTCAACACTTTGATAGCATTTCTGTTCATAATGTGTGTTTTCTGGATTTCCAGTCAAGCCATTTGATTTTATTCATCAGTTCCCAGGCTGACACTGGCAATTTTCTTCCAAAGGAATTGTCTGAGAGATGCGACCGTCTCTCTTTGCAGCGATGCTCGAGTTGATGCTACCATTAGAGCCACGTGTGACAGCATGCATCCCAGCTCTGCTGTGGCAGCAGTACCCTGCAGCCCTGTGCTACACACACCCAGATGTTCCCTCATGTTGCGCCATAAAGACTCATTTTCCTCCTCCCTGAACACAATGAGGACCAATGGTTCCTGTTCTACTCTGACAAATGTCGCTAATAGGATTGCAGTTTGTCATAAGAAAGTGACTCCTCTGAAGCTGCAGACTGAAAACGTATAGAAGACAGAAATCCCACCTCCTTAAAAGCACATCCCCTGCCCAGCAGCTCAGCACCAGCACTCTGCAGGAGAGTGTGGGTAGAGGAGAACGGAAACCTTAAAATTCCCTTTTCAGTCCTATTATCCAGACTTGGGTTTCCAACTTGAAGCACAAGTTTTTCCCTTTGAAGCCTCGCACCTCATTCCTTCTTATTACTGTATTACTAATTTCTCTGTGGCTGAACAGTTTTATTGCCCACCCCGCTGCTGAAGTGTGCTGAAGTCTGACATGGGATCCAATGCTTGAGTGAGCACCATTCACATCTCACTCTACAGAAGGGACTGTTCCTTATCGAGCAGTGCCTTCCTTCTTTGCTTTGTTTACTTTCAGGTGAAAAAAAAAGGGGGGGGGAGGGGGCAAAAAAAACCAAACTTGCCAGATAAGTGCAAACCTATTAAAAACTGCCAAAACAGCGCTGGTGTGTGTGTGCATCAGCCCAAATCTCCGGGCAGCTGATGGAGTGCCAGGCCAGCCCAGCACTGGGCACACCATGCAGACCTTCAGCCTCACAGCCCCACTGCTCCAAGCTGCTTTGCAGCCATCTGGGCTCCCATTTTGATGCAACCACAGCTGAAAGACCATCTGGGTAGCAAGATGCTGGCAAGGAGAGCTGCAGTCAGCTACTGTGACAGCAAATTTGCAGCATTCCTCCAACAGACCACCAAGTGCTGCCTACTGTTAGGATCACTTGCTGTGAGGCTCCCCAGCCCTGTGCTGATGGGGGGGTCGGCTGATTTGGGGTCAGGTGCCAGATTACAAGGTGAATCACAGAACCACAGAACGGCCTGGATTGCAAAGGCCCACAGTGCTCATCAGTTCCAACCCCCTGCTGTGTGCAGGTCACCAACCAGCAGCCCAGGCTGCCCAGAGCCACATCCAGCCTGGCCTTGAATGCCTGCAGGGATGGGGCATCCACAGCCTCCTTGGGCAGCCTGTGCCAGTGCCTCACCACCCTCTGGGGGAAAATCAGCTTTATAACCAAGGGACAGTTTGGTTACTGCTCTGCCTCCACCAGCAGAGGGGCAGGTGGGAGTGGGGCAGTGCTCTGGGGTGCTCAGTGCTGGGCACATCTCCCTCATGGGAGCAGCTGGGACGTGTGCTTCTTAAGCTGTGCTTCTAATGCTGGAAGTTTGGTATTTTGGAAGGAAAGAAGAAAAACCACAAAGGGCTGGAAACAGAGGAAACGTTCCCATTTTAATTAACCAAAAATAGGGCAGTCGCACTCCCACTGCCGCTCTTTTTTAGGTCTTTTATCAGCAAGAGGTTCTCAGCTATTTTTACCATCAGGATGTAAAAGCAGCTCCGGAGGTGCAAACTGGATGGGCAGGGAGGCATCATTTATGCACAGAGAAGATAAAAGTTTGTGCTCAAACCAAGGCAGAAAATGTGCTGTGCTCCTCTTGCAATCGCCTTCTTGCTTTTCCTCCTCCATGTGATAGAGGTCTCTGTGTCTTCTCTAATCAGCAGAGGGTGGGGAAGGAGCAGGATGGAGCTGTCATCTGCATGGCACTGCTGAGCAGGGGCTGCAGAGAAGAGCTCTGTGCAGGGA